ACTTCTGTGCTTTTCAGTCCTTGGCTGGTTCCTGCAGAGGAGCTTTGGGTAATCACCTGCGGGAGATCACTTTACTGCTCCTGCCTAGGAACAATGAAAGGTTTGTGTTTGAGTTATGGGTCTATGCAGTATCTTTATACTTAAGAGTTTTGAGATGAATTATCGAGTATGTATAAGTTTAAAGGCATTGACACTTTAAAAAAAATTGAGATCTTATTTGGAATATCAAGATATACAGCCTGTTGAAGTGGCGGTGCTTTAATTGAGATGGGGCCTGGGCCATAGTGACCTATGCACTTGGCTTCCCTTGTGCTTACCCTGACCCTCCCTGAGCAGATGAGAGATCTAATGCCAGCCAGATGTGCTGTGTCCACATCTGTGGACAGCCTTTTGTGAGGGGCTGGGGGTCCTTCCTTTGGTGGTATTTGCTGTGCCACAGCATGAGCAGGTACTATTTCCAGCACCCGTGTGGGCCTGGTGGAAGAGGGATAGATTTTCTTGAGTGGAGGTGGTTGAGCACAGGGAAGATTGGAGGGGGAAGAGATGGGACTATCAGACATCATTGTCCAGGTGAGGCAGGCATCTTCTGTCCACAGCGAGTTTATCCTGCTTGATTGTAGCATGGGGTGCATCTGAAAGGTCTGACAATATGCCAAAGTGGTCAGGCTCCATAGTTTATTCTCCATGGGTGGATACTCCCACAAGTGCTACGATAATGCAATTCTGTGTACACATGTATATATACACAATATTATAATATACATGCTCTGTGTGTATATATATATGTATATATATATATATATAATATATATATATTCTCATATACTGGTACGCATTTCTGTAGAATAGATTCACAAACTTATTACTGTTAAAAAGTGAGTTAAAGCCATTAACTGGGAGGGCTGTCCACATTACATTGTTAAGTGAAGATGAAAGATGCGGACAGATCTGATAAAAGATGGCCTTGGCCCTCTGGTATATATATAATATGTTTATCTCCATGCGTGAACTTGTAGAAAGAGGTGAGGAGAAATATATCAAGGAATTATCATAGGTAATTAAGGCAAGGAGAGGAGAAGGAAAAAATACTGTAGCAAAATGGAAAAGTACTCATGGTATCATGTTAAATAAAAAATGACTGATATTCTATCTATAATTGTTAATATGTAAATGTTTAGTGATTGACTAGGTCTAGAACAAACAATCAGGAACAGAGAAACATGGTTTGCAGAAACGATGTGATTTACGGATAGTTGTGGTCTTTGATTCTTTGGCTATCTTTAATATTGTTTTTGTAGCTAATTTCCAATGAAAGGAAGGTGGTTAGGACCTGACCGCATTGTGGCAGGCCTTGAATATGAACTGAGTTGCTTATTTGTGGGGAAGCCATGAATATCAGCTGAGCATTGTAATGGGGAGGCATTGATTTCAGCGGCACTGTGGAGTAACTTTCCATGTAACTTAGTATGTTAAGTTAGGGACTGTTTTGATGATCAACACCTAAGGAGATGTAATAGCCCAGATAGTTTTTAAATTTGAAATGAGGTAGCCAACAGACATGACTTTAAAATTGGTAAAATATCCCTATTATTGATTTGGTTTTGTTATGCCGAAATTCAAACAGGGTAGCTGAATAAAACACTGAATGAGAATCCTGTAGTTTTGGAGTTAGGGAAATTATTTATCCAGTATCTCAGTTTTTCTTGAGATTAAGGAGAGATCCTATTTTCTTTCTGAGAATTTTTTTTAAATATATTTTATTGTTTTTTTACAGAGAGGAAGGGATAGGAATAGAGAGTTAGAAACATCAATGAGAGAGAAACATCGATCAGCTGCCTCCTGCACACTCCCTACTGGGGATGTGCCCGCAACCAAGGTACATGCCCTTGGCCGGAATCGAACATGGGACCCTTGAGTCCGCAGGCCGACGCTCTGTCTACTGAGCCAAACCGGTTAGGGCTCTCTCTGAGAATTTTAACTTAGAACTATGAAAAGGTAAAATATGAAACAGGTTGTACCATTTCTCATTTTAACTTTAAGGTGTCAGAATGGTTTACTATTTTAATATTAAAACAGTCTGTAAAACTTTTCATATTAAAGTTTAAGTCTTTTGTTTCTGCTTTGGTTTTCAGTTGTACTGGAGAATCATGTAGTGACAGATGAAGATGAACCAGCTTTGAAACGCCAACGATTAGAGATCAATTGCCAGGACCCCTCTATAAAGGTAAAAATATAAATATATTTTATTATTTAGTTTCCTAGCATTGCCATAACAAATTCTCAAAAACTGCAGAGCCTAAAACAACAGGAATTTATCCTCTCACAGGTTTGGAGACCAGAAGACTGAACCCAGTGTGTGGGCAGGGCTGTGCTTCCTCCAGAGACTCTAGGGGAGGATCTTTCCTGCCTCTGGCTTCTGTTGGCTTCAGATGTTCCTTGGCTTGTGGCAGCATCACTCCAATCTCTGCCTCCATCCTCACACTGCCTCTTCCCTATGTGTTGCTATCTGTTTCACTTTCTCTTCTCTTATAAGGAAACTAGACGCCCGATGCACGAAATTCGTGCAAGAGTAAACCTTCCTTCCCCTGGCGGCCAGCACTGGCTTCCCTCCAGCACCCGGGGCCCAGGCTTCCCTTGCAGCCCCAGCTTCATCAAAAGGATGTCCAGTCTAATTATCATATTATGCTTTTATTATTATAGATTATTATTGAATTTAGCTGTCACCCTAATCCAGGAAGATCTCACCTCAAGATCCTTGACTTAATTACATTTACAGAGACCCTTTTCCCAATAAGACCACATTTATACATTCTTGGGGTTAGGATATAGATGTATTGTTTTTGGGAGTCACCATTCAATCCTCTTAAAGAATCAACATTGTTTAGATTGAGATGCTGCCATGTGAGGCATCTTTCTCTACAACTACAGACCTGTTGTGGACAGAAGGAAAGAGGACAGTTTGTGTGGCTAATATTTCCCACTAGTGCCGAAGTACTTCTGTACCTGCCATGTAAGTCACCTAAATTTCAGTTTACTAGAGGTGGTCTTTGAAACCACTGAGTCATTCAGTCAGTGATTTTGGATCTTTGGATTTACTTTGTTGGTTCAGTGTTTACGGAGTCATGGAGATAAATATCAGCACCTGTTCGAAGTTTCAGCAATGCAAATGTAAACCGCAGTGGCTTTTCGTGTAATCCCTCTATTTAGAGACATTCATATCCCCCAGAACTTAACAGTTTTGTTAAAAAGGGGAAGTAGTGTAAGCTTAAACATGTAGGTGATTTAAAAGTATATTCAGCCTGGCCGGCATGGCTCAGTGGTTGAGCATCAACCTATGAACCAGGAGGTCATGATTCGATTCCCATGCAGGGCACATACCTGGATTTCAGGCTCGATCCTTGGTGGGGGGCATGCAGGACGCAGCCGATTCATGATTCTCTCTCATCATTGATGTTTCTATCTCTTTCTCCCTCTTCCTTTCTCTCTGAAGTCCATAAAAGTATATTTAAAAAATATATATTCACAGTTAAATTTCTATTTCTGGCTAGTGGTTAGAAGGTGTCTGCATTAGTAACACCAAATTATATTTTAAAATAAAATGCAGTTGTAATTTTACCACCGGAGATACTCATTGTAAACATAAACAGTACAGAAATTTATAAAGTAAAAGATGAAAGTGGCTGGCTTCAGTCCTAGTTCCACTGTCAATAAGTTTAACTTTGGGCTATGGTTTGAATACTGCCACATTTGTGTACTGTTTGGAAAAGTTTGCTCACCAAATTTCCAAGAACTCTTCTCTCCAATGAATAGATTTGAATGTGAAAGGCTAATATCACTTGTATATAAAAAGACATTAAAAATACTGTTCTCTGCTCTTTGTATCATGAATTTGTTTGATAATTGTTTTATTAGTACATAACAGTGAATTTTGCCCAAACCCTTGGTAGAATCATTTGTCATTTAGAGTTAAAATAATAAGGTTTTACTGTATTTTAAGAATTCCGGAGCCAAGTGTTTGATGTCTTCAAATGATAAAGAAGAATGGAGTTTTAAGTGATTTTTATCTCAAGAATTCAGTGGCCAATGGGTGGTTCCAATGATCATTTACATTAGGGTGAACCATGGAAGTTACCTCTTTGTAGATCATGGGTGATGGAATGTCAACTGTGTGTGCCTCTGGCCCCAGTCACACACTTGCTCCAACGTCCTGTTCTCCTGAAGGCAGGCAGTCACTGGGGGACGTGGAGGTTAGCCCTTGCTTTATACGTTAGCACTCATGATGAGTCTCATCAGGGGGTGTGATTGCTTGAGACAAAGTGAGTTGTTTGGACAGTGTGCAGGTTTTGTTTACCGCATTGCTGCCCCTTACTGTCATGTCTACAGGCAGTTAGACAAATGCATTTAACTTCTTCACAAGATAACCTCAGTCTATTGAAAATGCATTGAATAAGAATATCCATATTTTTCTTCTCCCAGACCTCGATGCCAGCTACATGATGTGATATGGCTCTAATTTTGCTGTTTTTGCTTCAGATTAGAAGGGCAGCAGGCCCTAGGAATACTGTAGGCCAGCAGCAGTTAGACGGCATGTCCTGTCAGTCAAATGGAGGCTGGCCTTTTACTGTGGGCAGAGAAGCAGAGAGAAAGGGGAAAGGCAGAGTCTTCATTACTTTCAGCTGTTGGTTCTCAAACCAGCCTTTCTACTAAATTGAGCTATTGGATACTTTATGAACTTGCTTCTAATTAGCACTCTGAATCCTTCTACTAGCTGGTGAGATTAGTTTAGGGTGTTTACTGCACAGTGGAAGTCTTACCTGAAAACATGCTTCTGTTTGTATTCTTGTGGGAAGTGAAGAGTTTTCCTGTCTGGTGTGTGTATTTGATCTGTTTCTTGGGTCTGGAGTCGTGTATGTCACTGCTTACTGTGATCAATTGAAATTAGTAATTGGGACTTGGCTCAAAAGTGATCAAGTGTGAAGCTGCTCTTCATGTCAACCACTAGGTGGCAGGCATGCTATTTGTAACTTTTTTTTTTTAAACCAAATTTCAACAACAGGGCAGTGGGGATTGTGTGAATGTGCAGGACTAGTCATTTCCATGCTGTTTTGATGTTACAGGTAAATGTGTTTTTATAGTTAGAAAGATGTGACTAGTTTTTATGTGTAAATTTACTGATTAATAGAAGGACATCCTAAAGACTACATTTTTATCATATGGACTTAAACGTTACTAAGAATCACAACTACACATAGAAGTAAAACAAGGATTTAAGTAGTCACATTTAAATATAAGAGGTTGAACTTGTTTACTCAAATGTCTCTGGCATGTAACTTAAGAGCTAACGTGCAGGATTGTCCTATCAGAGTAGATGTGATTCACATTAGGAAATAACCATTTGGGGTTCCTTAAAGTTCAAGATATCCCTTCTGAAGTTTTTCTTTTTTTCACTTCCAGTCCTTCCTGTATTCCATTAACCAGACAATATGCTTGCGATTGGAGAGCACTGAAGCCAAGCTGCAAGCTCTCGAGGCCACTGGTAAATCATTAGAAGAAAAGCTGGATCTGGTCACGAACAAGCAGCACAGTCCCATCCAAGTGCCCATGGTGGCGGGCTCCCCTCTCGGCGCAACACAGACGTGCAACAAAGTGCGATGGTAAGAACAGACGTGTGGGCCGTGGTCACTTCCTCACCCGGCTCCTCTGTGCGGTTTCCCAAATTGTAGTACACATGAGGGCATCTGCCTCCAGCTTCATGGCACCTATTTCACTTAGACCAGTGTTCGGCAAACTGCGGCTCGCGAGCCACAGTTTGCCAACCACTGACTTAGTCTCAAACTAAACACGGGATACCCTGCTGGACTGGCTGGGAGTCATCCTCACGTATTCTTTCTGACATGAACCAGACTGGTGCATCTTTTCTGTGAAATTCACCCATCACATCTTGGAAGATGTGCATTTGTTTCTTTGTTGTTTTTCTATCTGGCGGGTCTTTAGATATCTTTTCTCCGTATTAGTATTTATAAATTTTATTTGAGTATATCAAACTTTTTCCATTCACGTCTATATTTTTTTAAAATCCTCACTCAAAAATACTTTCTCCATTGATTCCTTAGGCCCATTTGCATTTGTTGTGAATGACCTGTTGGGAAGTCTAAGTGTAACCTCACAGCCCGAATGCAGACACCGTAAAGGTCTTTTCAGTAATGAGGCCTCTGGGTGATAAGCTGTTCACTGAAATACCACTCTCTCTTCTCTTTGGAGGCTGCACAGAGCCCAAAGCCAGCCCCACTTGCAGGGCCTGCTGTGGCCTCTCAGCTGCGGGGCCCACTTTTGAATCTCTCTCTGCATACTGAAATCCACTCACCTGTTGATTATTTCTGATTAAAACTGGCCCAGACTGACCATGATATCAGCTCTGAGAGTTATTCTCTTTAATCCCTGGAGCGTAAGGGCAGTGGACTGCTGCCAACCGCAGCTGGTATTTTGGGTCCAGATTTTCAGATTCTACACCTGAATGAGATTCTTTAAATAAATTCAAGAAAGAAAGAAAGAAAGAAAATCTTTTTCTTTGATGCTAAAACTTAATTATTGTAATAAAAATGTGAGGTTACTTGGATGGGGCCTCACCCACAGCGGTCTTCTAATTGAGGAATAGAAAAATGGACTTGAATTCTTTTAGGTAGGTGCTTTTTTCCTTCCTCGCAAGTGTGCCCATATTTGGATTTTGCTTATTGTAATTCCTGGAATAGTGAGGTTGTTTCACATTGGTATTGGGGAAGTCCGTATAGAGTAGGCTCTTCCTTTAAATGCCCAGCTATGACCATTCCAGGAAGGGCCTTCATTTTATTATGTGGACTGAAGGGATCACGTGTATGGACAGGCACATTTATCCTATAGATCAGTGTGAAAACCCCTCTTTTGCACTTTCTTGAGATTAGACATAGAGCCATTTGAAGAAAGTACATTAGTAGGACATAGCTGGGCCTGGTGTTGGCTTGATGGCGGTGCTGTCCTAGTTGGAGACTGAGCTGGAAGGCCAGTATGACTGCACACACGCAGTGCATGGATCATGGGATAGAATACCGCTGTCCAGTGGGCTCTTGTAGAAACAGACTGTTTGATACGTCAGATAGCAACTCAAAACCCAGATGTTTGGGTTTTGTTTTCATTAACTTAACATATTGACTAACTGGAAAAATGCTTGTGTTTCTTATTTTCAAGACAGTAGATTTCTATTTTGTTATTTTTTTAAAATATGCCTTTATTTATTTTAGAGGGGGGCGGGGAGAGAGAGAGAGAGAGAGAGAGAGGAGAGAGAGACACATTGATTGGTTGCAACCCAGGTATGTGCCCTTGACCAGGAATCAAATCCGCGACCAAGAAAGAAAGAAAGAAAGAAAGAAAGAAACTGCTCTCTCGGATTGGCTGACTCTTGCATGCCCCCTACTGGAGACCGAGCCATAAACCAAGCATTGTGCCTTGGCTGGGAATCGAACCAGCAACCAACCTCTCGATGCATGGGAACCAATTGAGCCACACCAGCCAGGGGCTTCATTTTGTTATTTTTTATATGCACAAGTAGGTTTTTTCTTTTCTTTTCTTTTATTATTTTATTTTATTTTATTTTGGAGAGAGGAAGTACGGGGGGCTGGGGGGAGGTGGTGGTGGGTCATGATACATGAACTCTTGATTCATAGGTTGCCTCCCATACATACCCCAACTGGGAATTCAACCTGAAACCTGGGTATGTGCCCTGACCAGGAATTGAATCTGGTATCTTACCACCCTGTGGTGTACAGGATGATGTTCCAACCAAATGAGCCACACCGGTCAGGGCACACAAGTGATTTATTTTGATTGAGCTGAGATTGACATAACAAATTTTTATTTTTAAAAACTTAGATATTTTTTTACAGCTTAGTGTGTTTTTATAATTATATAAAACAATTGTAATAAATCAGAAGCTTCTTTAAAATCCTCTCAAAGTAAAAAGCAGATTTCCTTTTTTTAAAAGCATATTTTGATTGATTTCAGAGAGGAAGGGAAAGGTAGAGAGGGATAGAAACATCCACGATGAGAGAATCATGATTGGCTGCCTCCTGCACGCCCCATACTGGGGATCGAGCCCCCAATCCGGGCATGTGCCCTGACCAGGAATCTAACCATGACCTCCTGGTTCATAGGTTGATGCTCAACCACTGAGCAATGCCTGCCGGGCAAAAGTGATTTCTTTTAAAGTTTTTCTTAGAGATGTATCATGTAAGACGTACAAAGGGGAACATTTTTTATTTTCCTCTGAACTGATTATTGATCCACAGAAAACTGAAATATTTGACCAAGAAATTATTTAAATTATGCTGGTTGCTCATTTTCTCTTTTACTTCCCAGAGGGTCTTTTGTTTTACATGTTGCTGGATATTTGTGGAAGGAATGTTCTGGTCTTTGAGCCTCCATGGCTCTGTGTAGAAAGAGGCCTCGCTTGCTCTGTGCATCTTGTTCTGGCATTTGGAGCACTGGCCTGGGTCACCAGTATCCAGAGTGTTTCCATTTGGGGCATTGACCTTCTCAATCAAAAGTATAGCATTTCATAAGCTTTAGAATGTGACAAACTCAGAGTAAGTTTGTTTGAATTGTGAGGGAATGGTGTGTTCTCAGCAATGACAGACGTTTTAATTTTTCCTTATCAAATTTTGAATTTAAAAAATATTTTTATTGATTTCAGAGAGGAAGGGAGAGGGAGAGAGAGAGAAACATCAATGATCAGAGAGAATCATTGATTGGTGCCTCCTGTATGCCTCCCCTTCTGGGGATCTAGTCCACAACTGTGGCATGTGCCCTTGACTGGAATCGAACCTGTGACCCTTCAGTCCGCAGGCTGACGCTCTATTCACTGAGCAAAACTGGCTAGGGCTGAATTTTTGATGTTTCCATTTAATTTTGTATGCATGTGATTTCTATTCCTGACTGGTCTACACTCCCTCACAGACCTTCAGACTTTTGGTGACTTTGTTGTGATTTCCTGTACATGTTACGACTGAGTATTAACCAAAGAAAACATACAGTTTACACACATACACTTTATGATTCATTAACATAATCTGATGACTCAAATTCAATCTGATAAGCAGTTAATAAGCATAGTCAAATGTTTTAATAGATTATGCATATTGTAATAATTTGGTGTACTTCCAGTGTTAGAATAACTCATATCTCATTGATTGGAATTGAGTTGAATCTGTTGGTTAATTTGGAGAGAATTGCTGGCTTGCTTTTGTTAATTGAGAGGTTTACTTTGAGATAATTTACAAAAATTAGAAAGTTAATTGTATATCAGATTTCCTAAACTCAACTTGGTGAATAATTATTTTGAATTTCAGAAGGATATAATCTAGTGAGGCTTAATTGTAGGTTGGAGGGAGGCAAAAACTTTCTCAAATAATCTTCAAATATTCTGGTGGAACTCCTCCCACCCCAGCCGCAAAACACAAAGTTGGAGGTCACTGTGTGAATAGAAATTTCACCTGATATAGGGAATGGGTGGGAAGTTATTTGCAAATAATACCGTGCTGTGTACAGTTTTAGTCTTACCTAAGGTTTTCTCCTAGTTTGGGTTAATATAAATAACTTAGAATGTGAACTCCCCGAGGGTAAAGCATTTCTGCTGTGTCAGAGTGGCCTTCTCACTTACTGCCATTCAGGACAGTGTCGGTGATGGAGGGGTTCAGAGGATTTGGCCTTTCGGCATTTTAAGTTATTTAAACTTGTCTTTGGAAGAGTAGTTTCTCCTAAAATAGGATGTGCTCTTAGTACCCATATGTGTAAGGTGAGGTTTAAACAAAGAACATAATTGTGGACATTCTTGATGATTTGATGTGACATGCTCATGTCCCCTCAGCCTTCAATGGTTGTTCAGTGAACATCTACAGACATGTCACTGTTAGTGATATTACAGACTTGGTGGCAGTTGTTTTTTTAAAAAAATATTTTTATTCATTTCAGAGATGAAGGGAGAGGTAGAGAGAGATAGAAACATCAATAATGAGAGAGAATCATCGATTGGCTGCCTCCTGCCTGCTCCACAGTGGAGATTGAGCCCGAAACCTGGGCATGCGCCCTGACCTGGAATCGAACCATGACCTTCTGGTTCATAAGTCGATGCTCAACCACTGAGCCACGCCAGCCAGGCCAGTTGGTTCCTTATTTCCTGGATGAGCTTTTTGCTTGGATTAAATGCTCTTGGTACTCGTGGAAGTTTTCCTTGATCGTTGGAAATTGCTTTTTGCTTGGATTAAATGCTCTTGGTACTCGAAGTTTTCCTTGATCGTTGGAAATGGGATATAAGAAATGACTATGCTGCTTATGCAAACCAGATTCTCCCAGGGAACTCCATTCTTCAAGGGGACTTAAGAAATATTTGTTTGGTTGAACCCCAGTGCACTGAAACTTGGGTAGAGATGGAGAATATAGGCATGACTCCTATACCTCTAGCAGTTTCCATGGCAGTCTTGGTAATTGATGTTGACCCATCCCTGTGAGCTTCAAACCTGAATCAGTGTGGTATTTTCAGGTAAATGGAGCTGGCTCTAAATATTAAACTATTTTGGTTCTATATTTTCTCTGTTTCCCTGTTAATATACAATAAGAGGTGTGTGTG